AACAATAGTTTTGGAAGAGATGGGCCATTTCTGATGACATTGCAGAAGCTGGACACTCTCTGAAATTTCCAGTTGACAAGAAGTGGAGTTGCAACATCCTGCATAACTCCTTGTTCATCCCTTCTGATTAGGACAATGCATTGAAAACTAAATGAATTTTTGCAGTTCCTTTGCATATGAATTCAAATTAGGTAAAAGAGTCAAATTATCTTGACTGCTGTGTACATTTATTTTGGACGTTTTTGTTGTTTTTATAGCTTTGGAATTGGAAGCCACTCAGAGTCATTTGAGATGGGTAGCTATAGAAATTGAATAAAAATATGAGGTGAATAAATAAATATGAGACATAAATATATCTGGATTATATCACCATTCATGCTATTAAAATAAATAATTCTGGCAATAATAACCATAAAATGTTAAGAGCTGAAAGGGAGCTTAAATTGCCGAGTTCAGCCTAACCAAAGGAGGAATCCATTACTGCAGCATCCATGACAAATGGATTTTGACACTTCCAGCAAAGGACAGTCCTTCCTATTAAGAATTTCCTTTGGTGTCCAATCAAAATATGCATCCCTGTATTTTGTACCCATTGGTCCTGCTTCTGCCTTTGGATTGTTCTCCATTCATAGTTCCATATCTTGGGATAGTCCAAACCAAGTTGGAACAAGGAGCTGACTGATCCTCAGCTTTAACATCCTGGAGAAACAGAGTTGATCAGCTTATGATTGTAAATCCAGGGCCTTTGGAGACCCTCCTGCCTAAACTAGAGGGTGCAATAGCCTTGAAGGATTGGACTAGAAGATCTCCAAGTTTCCTTCCACCCCTACGATTCTATGTACTAGTTCAGAGGTCTGCAACCTTGACAACTTTAAGACTTGTGGCTGAGGAATTTTGGGAGCTGAAGTCCACAAGTCTTAAAGTTGGTAAGGTTGCAGACCCCTGAACTAGTTCTATGTACTATGTACCTGCTTTCATAGGTTTTTTTTTTAAGTTTATTGATAAAATGGATGGAAGGAAAATTACCATAATCTCCAACAACAAAACATATATTGAAGGCCTCAGATGGGGGGGAAGTCGGGTTTAGGAATTGGTTAACAAAATTATTTTATGTGCACATCCTAAAATCTTGGCAGAAAGTGCTTTTGTCCGCACAGGAGAATTTTGACTCTATGAGAAAGCTTATATGTACTATCTATTTAAAAGGAGAAAATATTTTAATATTTTATTATACACTGCCTAGAGTTTCTCTCTGAGGGAGATGGGCGGTTCAAAATAAATATATAAAAAATAAATAGATGTGGCAGTGCCTGGTATACCTATGATATTTTAGGTATGCGAGGCCATGACCGGACATTTATCACAATTAATGGAAGGGATAAAACATAGATTCTTGACACAATGCATTTCTGGCATGGAAGAATTCATGCTAATCATAATGCAAAGCATTGAATTCTAAGTTTTTCCTAGTGGATTATATTCTTTTAAGTAAGGGGTGGAGCTATAATATCTCAGATAATGTCCTGGTGACCTGCTGAATAGCCATCAACTTAAGCCCTATAAACTTCACACAGCATCCCAGCCAAATTAAGGTTGCTACATTTAGTAGATAGTCTGGCAATTGACTTCCTTGGGTGGGTGGGGGGCATGAAAAAGCAAGAAAGACTGGCAGGTGCCTCAGATGTGCTAGATCCCTCCTCTTGGGTATAAGGCTTCTGTTCACAGAGGGAAGGGGGAGACGGATAAGAACCTGTACATAACTGCATTTGGCTGCCCTTTCTGTGTCCAAAATATTCACAGATAGACTACAGGTTGGAGGAACTTTCTTTTTTCAGCTCAGGTCTCCTAGGGAAAAGGGGGGTTCAAAGCAAAATAAAGGAAAGGTTGTTTAAGGTCTTCTATGCCATCGGTTTTCAACTCGCACTAACCCTCCCATATCACTTTCCATTCTCCCAACATTATTTCAAACTCCAGAGCTAACATATTTTTGAAAGGGCCCAACTGAGGAAAGAATGCTGCTCAGGAATTGTTTGAAATGGAGAACTGGCAAGGAGGAAAAGGGGTTACAGGGAAACTGAGTTCAGGGGAAAATGAAGTGCTATTTCCCTCTCTGCTTTTCCTTTCAAGAATCTCACGTGAAAGCAGCTTTTTTACTCAGAGAAAGAAGATGAGGGCTCATTGGGCTTGCACTAGCACATAACATATAGCTAGCTGTATGGTACTGCCCATTAAGATTTGGTGTTGTGAAAGCCAGTCTGCCCAATCATAGTTGCACAGCTAAGGCAGTTCCATTTTGGCAGTATGTGTGTGTGTTTGTGTGTGTGTGTGTGTGTGCTCTTCGTTGTGAGAATTGTGATGCTGTGCCCATTTCAGAAATCTTTCAGAAGTGCTTTGGGCTATACCTGAGAACCTGCCTGCTATTAATTAAAGGAGTCATGTCTTTGGGAAAAGGAATTCTGCATGAGCTGCGCAGTTCAGCATAATGAGGCTGGTTTAATTAGTGGCAAAGAAATTCTGCAGTTACACGAGGACTAAAGTTCTTCTTCCAGACTATTTTGGAATTATTCAGAGGCCTGATGAGAATAGTATTTTATGGAATGACAACTTGCACAAGGAACCATTTTGAGTCCATAGTCCTATTGGCTCTTAGTACTGTAATGTTAGATACCAAAATGATAAAGTATATGTGGATAATTCAGCCTCCAACATCTGAGGGCAGTTGTTCTAATGTGGGATAATTTGGGATATAAATGGGTTTGTTTAGCGCCACAGAAATCCGTGCTTATTTGTAGAGTAATAATTTATTTTGTCAAAAGAGCCACCTGGGACTTTAAAAAAAAAATGTCTTATTGATTGGCTCATTTTTCATTTCCTTTTTAGGATACAATTAACACTTTGTTTGCTTCTACTAAAATATGTGATCTACCACTTCATTACAGTTGTGTCTAGGTTGTTCTCCAGGCCGCACTGCAGAAGTGATGCATCTTTGTCTTCTTTGCTGTCATATTAAAAATGCCTAAAAGAACCCACCTATATCAATATGTTCTGTAGAAAAAGAGAAATGAATTATTTTAGATATGAAAAAGTTAGGGTGCATAAAATGAGTGAAAGATTTAATACATTTTTTTTAAAAAAATACAAAGTTGTAAGTACATTAAAAATAACATATATACATAAAATTAATCTCAACTGAGTCAATAGCTTTGCCAAACATATTGAAAGACACAGAAATAATGATTCTCACAGGAAAAGCATTCCTACAATACAGAGTGACGCCTTTCCCCCTCCTTTTGTTAAGGGTTTCAAGCTAAACCTCTGTAGAGCAGAGCTTCTGGGACCTTGGCCTTATAGGACTCAAAAGAAGCACCAGGGAAAATGGATAGGATAGGAGGGTGATCTGGAAGCACTAACCTCCCAAAATTAAAATGAAAAAGCATGTCTCAAAATGTATTAAAAAACAAAGGAGCAACAAGGTATAGGGTATTGGTGCAGTTGTGGGAATGTCTGAAGACACAGTGTGCAGCAAGATGACAACCCCAAATTTCTTCTTCCTGGCTTCAGATTTCACTTCTTACAGTGGTACCTTCATACTCAACCGCTTTGAAACTCATTGAATTTGGTACTCAAGTGCCTTTTGATGCAAAAATTTTGTCCTGCTACTCATTGTTTGGTACTCAATGGACAAGCTAGAACATTCTGTGTTGGCTGCCTTGTGATTCACTACATTATTCCTTATGGGAAAAATTTGTTTGGTACTCGTTTTTGGTACTTATCGCGCCTCCTGGAACCAATTAATGATGAGTAGCAAGGTACCACTGTATTGTCTGCTCTCTGATCCTTTGTAAGCAAAAATGCCAAAGACTGAACTCAGACCTTCTGATTACAGAGCGTTTACACCAACACTGAGCTGTTATCTGTCTTCCTACGCATCCTAGAGTTGTCTAGCCTCTAATAGTACCATAACGTCAGTAGGTGGCAACATCCAGGAACGCTTGAATGACTTGAAAAAAATAAAGGTTGGACTTGGTTAGTTCTTGGAATGGGAGATAGCCACGATATCCCAGAGCTGTAGAGATCCAGGAAGAAGGCAATTCTGGGCAACCCACTATCAGATGTTTATTGAAATGCAGCATTATTTCTATAATTTCAGTAAACCATAGCTGTAGCTTAAAGTCTGTATTTATGGGGGCAGAATTGAAAATTCTGCCTCTGCCATTAATTCCTTATGTAGCTTTAAGGTTGTCTTCCATCTTTAAAGTAGGGATAATACTGAACTATTGTATTTTTTTTTCTGATTAGTGAGATGAAGATGGTGTAGTTGAAGTATAACATTATTATTAGTCGTGGATTATAAATTAAAAGGCTACAGTTTAGTCAATTTTTATGGATTTCAATATTTGGATCAGAAATTCAGTGTTGTTTAAACAGATAGGTGTGTGGAACTAAATGCCCAAAGAGACCATTATGAAAGTAAAGAATGGGAAGGAAGAGGGGAAGGGAATGGAATTACAGGTAGTCTTCACTTAGTGACCATTGGAAGTTCTGATCTCCCACCCAAAAGCTACTTACAACCCAATTCCGGAATTCCAGCAGCAGCCAGTGTCAAGCAAAAAATGACTATAGAAATCCATTGACTTGCTTTATGACCACTACATTCATTTTACAACTGCTGCAAAAAAGATAATAAAATTGGGTTGGTCACATGGGTGCCTCATGACTTACGGCAGAAATTCCATGGTCTGTTATAGTCATAAGCTGAGGACTACTTGTACTGCACTAGAATCTGTGCCTTTCTCCAAGACTGCAAAATACCAAGTCTCATTTCAAAGATTCTGTGTTGGTTGTTAAGGCAGCAAGCTTAGTAAGCTCTCTCAAACAATGCAGAGAAATTGTTGACCTAGAAGACATCAAAGATAGATAGCTGTAAGATCATTATGTTTTTCCTTGAGATTACCTCAGATAATTGTCCTGTTTCTTCCCCACCCTCTCTTTCCTTTCAGAACCTTCCAAGGGAGGTACAAAGAATAGCATGGCAGAGGTCCTGCCTAGAGATGGGCAGTGCTAAGGAGACTGAGGCTCTGCAGTTGCTGAACCAAGAAGCGGTTCCAGGAGATGCTCACAAGCTCACCACCAGCTCACCTTGTGGTTGTAGAAAAAACAGCTGCCTCCAAAATGTCAACTGTGCAAGCGGAGAGTTCACCATGAGGAACTGCTGTGTAAATGAACTCAGCATCAAAGACAGCAGCCAAAAAGTCACCATGGTGGATAACCCAAACCAGAAAGAGAAGGCTCAAGCTGTAGATCCAAAGCCTTCTGTAGATCTCCTCGCTGCTGCTGCTGCTGCTGAGCCCCCCATTCTAAAAAACACAGGTGTTGGAGGAACTTCCCCAGAAGCAAAAGAAGAGGTAGCAGCCTGTCATGAGTGGAAACAGAACAGTAAGCAGGATGAGAGCACGAAGGAGATCTCAGTGACCATCTGCAGCCCTCTGGAAAAAAAAGTTAGCCCTGTTGCTGGAGAAGCATGTAGGCATCTCCCAACAGAGCCCTCCCTCAAAGGGCCCAATAAAGACTCACCCAGTACACCAGTCTCCCTGAAACATGTTGCATTTCTTGAAGCCACCACAGATAAAACTGAGGAGGAATGTATCCAAATAAAAACAGTTCATTCCAAGATGGGTCCAGCACTTCCTGCATGTCAGCAAAACATAAGTCAAGGGCAGCCTCTTGCTTCTAAAGGAGATAAATCACACATTAGCAGTGCCATTTGTGAAGCTATGGAATACAGGAAAGAAGATTCTAGAAGTCTCTTTGGGTCAGAAACTATGAAGGAGTCCATTCTGGAACCCTCTAAAGCTGAAACCACATCAGAGAAGTCAGACAAGCCTGTTGCAGCAAAGAATCAGTTGAGTGATACTGAGGAAACAAGGTTCCCTGTTACAGAAACTCACCCACCTGGAAGCTCCTATAAAGTGCCAGATGTCCTTGTTACCAGCATTTCTTATGAAGTCAAACATCAAGGCACATCAGGTGAATTAGAATCAAGCCCAGCTGAATCCATGGAAGAGAAAACAGGGCACAGGGAACCAACAATGTCCAGCTGCAAAAATCAGGACCCAGCTCATGAAAAAAAAGTGAAAATGATTAGCATAGCTACAAGTGAGGACCATACCACCAATGAGGAGATGACGTCTGTAGAACGTCTTGCCCAGGCCTGCGTTTTGGAAGTCACATACCCCCAGCACGATGCTGGAACTCAGGTTGATAATCGGGTATCTTTGGTGTCTGTAGCCGTCAGCCCTATTAATCCACCTGATGGCTCTTCAGCTTTCACATTTCATACAAGAGGTTTAGGGACTTCTTCTCTGAAAAGTCCTGGTCCAGAGGAGAAACCCACAAAAAGGGATGTGGAGATGCAAGTGTCCATCCCAGTGGAGACCAGATCAGTGGCCACAGGACCCATGACTCCGGTAACCAAATCCCCTCAGTCATCCTATCCTGAAGTGCACATTAAGGGTGCACAGGACGAGACATCAGAGCCAATACGAGAGGTCAGCTGGGATGAAAAGGGGATGACGTGGGAAGTATATGGAGCCTCCATGGAGGTAGAAGTGTTGGGAATGGCCATACAGAAGCATCTGGAGAAGCAGATAGAAGAACACGGTCGGCAGATGGTGATGACTCCCCAAAGTACCCGCTCCAGTTCTGTCAAGGCTGCCCCACGCAAGGGTGAGATCAAGAGGCAGCCCAGTGTGTTCAGGGCACTCTTACAGAATGTACGACGGCCGCGCTGCTGCTCTCGTGGAGGCCCAGCTGTGGAGTGAAATGCGCTCTTGTCATTTTCTTGGGTTTTTATTGTAACTGGAAAATGCAAATATTATGTAGTTTCTCAGGCAAGGTGGGAGGGAATGATCCCTTTTTAATATTTTGAAACTGTAATGTTACGGCACCTCTATCTAGTGCTCTTCAAATGGCATATTTTAAAAATGCTGGCAAAGTACTAAATTACAAGGTTGATAAGTTTGGCTGAAGAGCTTTGAGCCTTGCCCAGCAATAGGTGTCTTCATATACACCTGAAGAACTTACACATTCCTGAGAGCAGTGCTTATATCTGCTGCTTGCATCCAGAGTGTAGTTTTCATGCCGGATATATATAATCTCCACAATGACAAAATACAAAACTCTCAACAACCTATTTACTATAGGATGGAGAGCATCCTTGGGCTTTTACTGCCCAAGTGATACAGCCCTCTAATAGCCCATGTTTGTCATTTAAAAAAAAAAAAATCACACAATAGACCACACAGATCTCTGAAACAAAGCCATCCGAGATATAAGGAATGGGATTGACCACATTTAAGTGTTTGGGATCCACAAACAGAAGAAGCTATCCATTTAAATGAAGCCTGTTTTAAAACAAGCACTATGGTTTTAACCCACTCCAGAATCTTTCTTGGTCCCGTTGCTGAACCACTGAAAGACCAATGATAAGGACAACCGGTTTACCCAGATAAGTAGATCCACACGCATGCAGGTTGCTCCACTTGGAGATCTCCTAGTGCTGTTGTCAGAAATCATTATGTAATTCTTATTTCGTTCTTTAGCAGATGGTTGTTGTTGTTGTTGGTAACGGTGGTAGTAAGAAAAAGGCAGTATTAATAAAACTGTAGGCATAGATGTCTGGATTCTTCCTCCTGTAATCCGGAGGATGCCATTATTTGATTCCATAACAGTCTGTAATGCAGCAAAGTAGGAGCCAGAACTAAACATTGTCTGTTACATATAAATCCACTTAACAGACATGTTGGTTCTTTTAGCATACCAGAAACCTGCTTTTCACAGCTGTTAATGGTTAAGTTTTCTAGCTCTCTCTAGGAGTAACTCAAATGGGAAAGTGCTTTTCTAAAGGGAATGGAGCATGACTGGATTGCTTACCATAAATGTATATTTTGCATTTACTTTGATCCAAAGAAACTGAATCTGGGGCCACATAATTGCAAATCTCAAGTTCTAAGCATCGTTGCTTGAAAATAACCTTGTATTTCTTAGAGCAGATGTTGAATGGTCCAACATCAAATATTCAGTGCAAACATACTTCACTTAATTCCTAAATCACTGGGGCTACCCTTTCCTTAACTACAAAATGAACTCCTTTCTGATTTCAAGTATATTTATCCATTTAGAATTAAATTCATACCCCACCTTTCTGTTTACAATATTCAAGCACTTGAGGTGACTTGCAGTTTAAAACTACAGAATATTGCACATAATAAAACCCAGACAATTAAACTCAGAATCAATTTTACTTAAATCAACTAACGGTTGAAAAACTGACAATGTTCTTTTTCCATTTATTCTTTTCTCTGGGAGTCCTGTAGCAGAAGGCCCTCTCCCATCTGCCTGAGAGAGGAGCTTCTCCTGGTAATTAGTAAGTAAGTGGGTGGGTTCAAAGCCCAAGAGTTAGACCCGGAAGCCAAAGAAAGGGATTGAGTAGCTCCTTTGCCACTTAAAAATAAAATAAAAAAATGTTTGGTTTCATAGAGGATCAAGATTTAGTTCTTAGTGAATCAGTTCTCTGTCAAGGCTTGGTCCCAGTTTCTTTGCCATCACTGATTTTCTTTGGTAAGCGTGCACATATTCCTCAAATGCAACTCCTCTCTGTAAAGCTGTCCCAGTCCTTTGGAAATCGTTTTGTTTTTATACCCTCCAATGAGGGTAGCATGATAGGAGAGGGCTGCTTAGGAGACAGTCACTGTGTCTGCTTTTAATCCACAGGTCGGCAACCTACAGCTCTGGAGCCGCATGCGGCTCTTTGAGCCTTCCCCTGTGGCTCCCAGCCTCCTCTGCCATTTGCAGAGAGAGACAGAGACAGAGAGAGGCACTTGCGCTTCCCTGCTTCTCTGTCTCTCTCTGTCTCTGTGTTTGTGTTTATGTGTGTGTTTGTGTGTGTGTGCAAAAGAGAGTGGACTCACTGTGTTCTCCGACAAGCTGAAAATCTTTTTGGGCGTGGCTCCTGCCTTTGCTGCTTCTCTGCAGGAAGGAGGAAGGGCAGGAGAGAGCTAGCTAGCCCAGCTATGCTGACTCAAGAATTCTGGGAATTGAAGTCCATGAGTCATAAAAGAGCCGAGGTTGCCTGGCAGACCAAGGGCAGAAAGAAAGAGAGGGAGAGAGAGGGAGGGAGGGAGAGAAGGACACAGAGACCCTTTTGATATCTAAAATGAAGATAACACTGCATATATCCTTTTTTACCTTTATGAGATGTGTGTGTGTGTGTGTGTGTGTGTGTGTGTGTGTGTGTGTGTGTGTGTGTATAAAAGGTAAAAAAGGATATATGCAGTGTTATCTTCCTTCTAGATCTCAAAAGGGTTTTGCGGTTCCCAGTGTTTTGTTTTTGGTGGAAAACGGGTCCAAGTGGCTCTTTGAGTGTTTTGGGTTGCCTACCTCTGTTTTAGGTAAGCAGAACAAGTGTATTTAGTGTTGTAAGCACCATGCATGCTGAGTACTTTCTCACGTGCCATTTGATTGATGGGGTAAGGACCAGCAGCCTTACTTCCTAAATTACTGACAGTCATGCTGTTTCACTGCATAGATCCAAAACAGGATCTCTGTTTTGCCACAACAAACTTGTATGGCTGTACGTCTTTGATATAGCTTGGAAAAATCAAGCTCTTGAAGTCTTTGGAGGTAACTCGTAGGGGGTTAGCTTTAGAGCTATAAGGCTGAGTGGGCAGTTTTCACAGTATAATGCAGAATGTCAACACTTTAAGACCTCTGAGGATCTATTTTCTTCACAATCCCCATCCTTTAGGAACCGAGGCCATGCTTTTCACAGCTGGTAACAGTTACTCCTAGGCTTTCCCAAGTAGTAACTCAAATGTTACTCCTAGGGAGTATGTACCGTATATGAGCCTCTAATAATTGGGAGTAAAAACATTTATACTCTGAATACTTACCCACTGTGCTCTTCAGTTTTAGGGTTTGTCAAAAGTCTCCCATCTTCAGCCTTCATTGATCACATGTTATCTAGCATATTCGATAACCATTCCCATCAGTTTAGTCACACTGATAGCAGGTGATGGGACTTGTGAACCAATACATCTAGAAGCCCTTTTCAAAATGGTTTAGGAAAGCAAAACCCTGTTACACTGTAGAACAAGCAATTGCTACTGCGCTCTTCATTTATTTGTCCATTCCACAGAGACAAGCTTTCCTCCTATGATGCTATTTTTTCTTGCCAATAACATTCCTCTGCATCATCTCATATATCAGGAAGAAATCCAATGAAACAATTTCAAGCAAATCACTCAATTCATGAAGTATGATTCACATCTAGGGATGTGCATCATTTTGGATCTGAACCAAAAATGGTGATGCATAGTTGGCAGGGCACACGTGCCACACCTTACAGAAGGTGGTGTCACCTTACAGAAGCTGCATCTTTTCTGGGTTTGCAAGGTGGCCATATAATACCAGAAAAATATGGCTGAGTTGAGGCATTTGGGATGACTCTAAATCACCTTCCTGCATATTATTGATGACTCCTTAAAACATATTTTCCTTGATTACCATACAATATAAGCCCAACCAAAGATGCAGCTGCTTTAAGGAGGGACTTTAAAGAGGTAGGGTGTGCCTACCATACCTACTTTGAAGCCACTTTTTTTTTTTATTTTGACGGCACCAAAACTTTGCACATAGTTTCTTTTTGTGTACAAGAATTACCTTAGTACGAGTATGGGTTTACTGTATATTGTGTTTAATTTTGCACAGAAGGTGCACAATTTAGAGCAGGCATGTCCAACTTGCGCCCTGCAGGCTGCATGCAATCCTGGATAGCTATTAATGTGGCCCAAAAAAACCTAAAGTTTGTTATTTATATAGACTAACTGTATTATATATTTTATATGCGGTCCAAGACAATTCTCTTCACTCGATGCAGTCCAGGCAAGCTAAAAGTTTTGACACGCCTCATTTAGAGTGATAGTTCAAAAAAAAAAACAGCTGTTTCTAAGGCAAAAGAAAAATGTAGATAAAATATGTAACCGCCCTTGGTCTGCATAGTATCAATAGCCTCCTCAGGCCTAAGGTCTGTGCCTCTTGCAAGTCAAAACTATATAGTCTGGATGTTGAATTGATGGTGGGTTCTCTATATGGGCTTGGATGTCTTGCAGCATGACTGGCTGGTAAGCATCACTGAGGCCCATGGATGTTGTTTTAGACTCCATACCAGGGTCCTGAGACCACCAGCCAATCCATTTGCCTGAGAAACTAATCCTTGGGAAGAATTCATGTCTTGTAAGCAAATGGGTGGCTTGATGTGCATCTTGTGTGCACTTGAATGCATGTACATATGTATCTTTGCCTCTTTGCAGTCTACACTGTTTTCTCAACAGAACAAAGAGGTCCATTGCCACCTGAAAATTGGCAAGTGTTATATTCCAGATTTTTTTTTTCAAAGGGTTTGTGGGGGCTGAAATATTTTATTCATATGTGTCAGGATATGGGGACTTAAAAATTATTTACTCTGGACCAAATCCTTGTTTTTCTTGATGTTGCCATTCCTCTTTTTTATCTCCTTCATTTTTCTTCTGTTACTAATATTCGTACTGGGGATGTGGGATTTTGTACTTTTCCCGTATGTGCTATAATCTGAGCAGAGATGTGTCTGACAGAAATAACTGATAAATTGAAAAGAAGATGGTAATGTGGGGAAGACCTAGTTTATTTTTTTTCTTTTTGATGGTAGTTCTCCAGATAGCTGCATCCACTATCATTTCAAAGGAGCTTCCAGTGGGAAATATAGTGCCAAAAATCTATTTTTAATTGAGTAGAAGAATACTATTCTAACTTTTGCCAGAAAATAACATTTTCATTTTCACTTTCTATTGTGGTTTTTTTTTTTTTTTTTCCTGTCTCGGCTGTGCTACTTAGCTGTTGTTAAAGGGAAAAAATGAACAGATCGGATTTGTGCATCGTGAAAAGTAAGCAAAGTTCTTCTGCTGAATTTTCTTCTTCAGGAAGTCCTGCCATGAAAGAAAGGGGAACACTGACCATTATACTCTGAATGGAGATGAACTCTTTGAGTCTAGATAATGGAGAGTATGTCCAAAAGGAAAGACTTTCTGTGTCTCTATAGTTGATTAACAACATACAACTCCCATTCAGTTATTTAAACTGTGAATGGATTGACTACACCCTTCCTTCCTTCCTTCCCTTTCTTTCCTCCCTCTCTTCCAAAAAATTATGTTTCTTTTGCAGTGCTACATGGTTAATGAGTCCTACTTGAACTCCTGATTGGAGTATAAAAATCTCTTCACCGAACCCTCAAAAGCCAGACTGCATTGTGTTCCCATGATACAAGAGTGCGTTTCCTTCTGATGAGTGGGAAAAGCTTTTTGAATGCTGGTTTTCCCCCAGACAATGAAGATTAACTCATTTGCAGAGTTGAGGTGGTGGTATTATTCATCTCTAGGTAGCTTTTAAAACCTTTGTAAACAATGGAAGCATATGAATAGTTTGGCTGTCTGCTATCCTGCGCAAGAGAGAGAGAATCTATGCCAGATTTCTCCAACCCGGTGTTCTCCAGAGATGTTGGATTACACCGCCTATCATCCCCAGCTAGCGTGGCTCTTGGAGAGCATCTGGCTGATGGAAAAATCTAGGCTTGCAGTGGCTTTTAGCAGGCATTTGCTGGAGTACAAATGTTAGCTCTAGGTTTGATACACAGGGAAATGTTGAGTTATTGCACTGACTTAGCAACAACACTGCCTGCATAAAGCTACAGTATATACCTAAAGTGTATTGGGCTGGTGAGCTCTCCTCAATACATTAAGCAGGGCTTTTGGAAGACACGCTGGAGGATGGGCTTATCCTTCAGCCATCTGCATTCCCAGGTCCCCAGAGTGCTCAGTGTTCACAAGTAGCCTTCCAGTTGCAAGATGCAGAGCCAGATTGTCTTGAGATTTCACTTGCCTTGCAGATCAGAGAGCCTAGCACAGGCTACCACCACATTTAGCTGAGACTCAAGACGTGCATGAGAAGAATTGGGGAAGAAGCATCCAGCCTGGAAATAAGTCTTTGGGGTGAAATCTACAAAGCCCAGTGGCAGTATGCCTAGAATGGGAAGTGCTGCTGAGGCACCAGCCAATGGACTTCCCCCTGCTCCCCCCTCAGAATAGAGGGGAAACCTCCAGAACCACTGAAGAACCTTCCCGCGTCCTGCTTTGTGTGCTGTTCTCAGTATGGTGTTTACGTGCCATATGGATTTATAGTACCAGGCAATGCTGAACTGTTAAAGAGTAATTTTGCCTTTTGATTTCTCTCTTCCTTTCTTTATATCTTTTAGGGTACTACTTGTAAACTTAACTGTTGGATAATAAATTTTTCTCCAAAATACCCAAACCAAACCCAACACAACAATGAACATTTTCTGCTCAAAAAGCTTTTATTTGTGTTTGTCGAGGGGTTGGGAGGAAAGGGATGGCTTTCCTTTATTGGGCTGAAATTCTGAATAGTCTCCCTGCTGAGAATGGTGAAAATTGTATTGAAGGGCTCTCAAACATGATCTCTTCTCAAAAGAGCTGGAGAACAATCATTTTTGAAACCTTCAGGAAGTTCTTAAAATTACAAGTTTAATCTCTGTTCAAGAGACAAATTGCAAACATCACACTCGTACTGTAAGATAGCCCACATTGGACAGCATTTCAAATTCATACAGACACTAAAAATGGAACATTTCCATTTTCCTTGTACATACAAGTTATACTGATACCAAGGTAAAAAAATCCCAGAAACATTTTCCTTTCTCATACTAAAATTAAAATACTAGATCAGTGGTTCTCAACCTTTTTAATGCCGCAACCCCCCCCCCCAACCGGTCGTAAGTCGAGGAC